CACTTGGGAGGCAGAGGCAGGTGGATCTCTGTGAGTTCAAGGCCAGCCTGGTCTACATAGTGGGTTCCAGGCCAGCCAGGGCTACAGGGAGACCCTGTCTCAAAAAAGACCAAAAAAAAAAAGTTCTTGAAGGATAAATGTTTCAACTTAGAAAGCCCCAAACCAGGTTGAGAAAGCCCCAACCTGGAAACTGTAATACCTGAGGTAAATGTATGCCAACATTTTATGTTCACACAAACCCTCCAACTGTAAAATAACAACTACAGAAAAAAAAACCTGTCTTTCCTCCTTCAAGCTCCTTAAAAACTCAGACTAACCGTGCCTCAGTGCCCAGTTTCCATCCCGCAGAGAAACTGTTGCCTGTCATGGTTCTAATGGAGAGTAATCTCCTCCTGTTGAGGTCCATCTCATTCATCTTTCATTTTCACATTGCCCTGGTCAATCCCCATCTAACATTTTCTAACAGTACTGAGATGTTTCCTTATCTTACATGTTTGGTTCTGTGGCCATGCAACCACCCCACCATCTGTGCACAGACTTTTCCAAGTCTGTAATCTTTATTTATTTATTTTATTTATTTATTTATTTTTGAGAGAGGGTCTAGTTATATAGACCAGGCTGGCCTCAATCTCACAGAGATCCACCTGCCTCTGCCTCCTGAGTGCTGGCATTAAAGGCCATGCTTGGCTCAAGTCTGTATTCTTTAAAGTTCTTTAGAACAGTTGGCTGAACTCTTCCCTACAGCTTCCCTGGATCTGTTTTATTTTGTTCTTGGGACTGGGGATTGAATCCAGGGCCTCACGTATGTTGAACCAAGCACTCTACCACTGAGCTACATCCCCAGCCGCAACTGGTTATTACTCCTAGGAAGCCCAGAAGTTCTCCTCTCCCTGATTACCGAGATAAGATGAAGGTTACCATATGACCTTCCCTGTGTTCATCCTTTCTGTACAGACTCTGTATCCTTGATTCCTCTCAGGAAAGAACCTACCCACAGCAGACAGGACAGAAAAATAAATGAGATGTCTTAAATTTCTACAAAACCAGATTTGGCCACCATTTTCTTACAATGCCAAACCTATCTTCCCTCTACATGTTTACGTTGCTTCTTCAGAGGGGTGGACTTCACTGGACGCCAGCCCCTAGAAGCCTATGTGATTTTTGACTTCTCTCAGTGCTTCATATAAATGCAGTCCTACAGTTTTGGTCTTTTTGTGACTTTTGTTTCACATAGAATATTGCTCTGAAATTTGATTCATGTGATTAACAAAGTGTGTGTGTGTATGTGTGTGCGTTTTGACAGGGTTTCACGTAGCCCAGGCTGGCCTTGAACTTCTGATTCTCCTGCCTCTACCTTGCAAATGCTGGGATTGCAGGTGTGCACCACCATGCCTTAATGATAAACTGACTAATTAATCTACAGTTCTAATTCAGATATCATCTGGTTATGTGTCAGAATTTCCCCCCTTCCTTCAGAAGGAAGGTCTGTATGCATTTCTTTTGCATATATTACATTTTGCTTATTTGTTCCTTTGCTGGTGGACATCTGGATTCCTTCCACACTTGGTTGTGAATAAGGCTGCTGCGGACATGGGTGTACAAACGCCTCATCGAGATTCTGCTTTCAGTTCCTTTGGGCATATGCCATTATCTCCCCATTTTGCTATTATTAGTTATTATTATTAATTTTTGGACACAGGGTCCCATGTAGCCCAGGGTGGCCTCTAACTTGACATGTACCTGAGGGTGACCTTGATTGAACTCCTCATTCTCTGACCACCACCTCCTAAGTGCTAGGTTTACAGGCATGAGCATGGCTCGTCTTTCTTTCTGAATGAGTATCTTTCAGAACGTAAGAAACATTAAATATTCTTTTCTTTCAAATCCTGTATAACTTGGAACTTGGTTTATGACAAGGAATTTTTAACTTTTAATCCAACCATACCCTGTAAAGCTTTTGTTTAAGGCAAGGTCCTGATGCGTTCCTGAGCCTGTCGGCCTGGGGCGGTGGGGCTCTTCTCCCGTCCTCCTGATTCTATTAAACTAGCCAACCAGAAAAGACTGTGAGGTCAGAAGCCAGCCAACGGGAAAAGACACCGTTGTACTGAATTAAGGATAAAGCCCACCAAGCTTCCAGTCTGGTGTGTACTTGCTGGATCTGACAGACCACATAAGACACCCTTTTGCAAAAGGAAACTCTGCCTTGCCAAGTTACTTGGCTTTGTCGGCGTGTTCTTTGTGCGGTATTGATGGGGTCCTTGGACCTTGGATTTTCTGGGTTTTTTTTTTCTTTCTTTTTTTGGTTTTTTTGAGACAGGGTCTCCCTGAAGCCCCAGCTGTCCTGGAACTCACTATGTAGACCAGGCTGACCTTGAACTCACAGAGATCCGCCTGCCTCTGCCTCCCGAGTGCTGGGATTAAAGGCGTGCGCTACCACGCCCGGCTACTATTAGTTTTAACATCCATTGATTCGTCCCTGAGTCAGTGATTCCAATGGCTGCCAAATGGCAGTTTCCTAATATCACTCCTTTTACATTTACTTGTTGGCATTCTTCTGTAGGAAAGAGATTTCCCTCCATACCTTTATTTATGAATATAAACTCATTTTGTGAATTTACTCTGGGGACTCTATTATTTTGAGCAATTCTTTCCTATATGACATCAACAGTACAAGTTTCTGTTCACGCGGGAACTTTCTGTATTTCTTTGTCACCCACCATTAAGCAGAAGGCGAATACAGCCAGACTTCCGTTTTCCCCAGGTGGACTCTGGATAGCCCCAAGGCATCGCGAACTACATTTCCCAGAGACGTCTTGGGCTGACGTCATCAAAGCGCGCACGTCCCCGTTCTGGAGGCGGGCCGTGGCGGCGGCAACATGGCGGACGTGTTGAGTGTCGGGGTGAACCTGGAGGCCTTTTCGCAGGCTATCAGTGCCATCCAGGCGCTGCGCTCCAGCGTGAGCAGGGTATTCGACTGCCTGAAGGATGGCATGCGCAACAAGGAGACGCTGGAGGGCCGCGAGAAGGCTTTCATCGCGCACTTCCAGGACAACTTGCATTCGGTCAACCGGGACCTCAAGTAGGTACCGGAACGTGGTCGAGGACCCTCCCGGCTGCCGGGACCCCACTCCAGTCTTCCCAGTCAAGGCCTCGCTCCCTTCCCCTACCCCCCACCCCCGTCAACACCTTCTCTCCGTCGTCCCCAGGGACACCTTGTCCGCGTCCCCGCTATCCAGTGTCCATCCTCCAGCCCCGCCGCGAGGGCCGACGGGGAAGCGAGCTCTTCGCAGGAACTTGCACACGGTTGCGCTTAGCAGGTGTCTCACCTGTAGGTCTGCGCTCTGTCACTCCGGTCAGACCACCGTAAGCCCTCCCAGGCCCCCCCATTAGGGCCGCCCCAGACCCAAGTGCGCGTCCTTGGGTCCCTTGAAGGCCAGTTCCGCCCTCCTAGAGCCTAGCATTCAGCGGCTCCACGCCCAAACAGTACCAAACCAAACAGGTCTCGACTCTTTTGTCTCTCTTGATTCCCTTCCCCAGCCGCCTGCCCAGTACTTCACCAACCTAATCTCTCATGCCTATCTCCAACAGTTTCTTTCTTTTCTTTTTTATTTTAGAAGAGGAAGGATTTATTTGGGCTCAGGGTTTCGGAGCACTCACTCAGGAAAGGCCCGCGGGAGCAGCTTAGCTCCTAACCATTCGTGATTTGTGTCCTTCAGGGTTCCGGATTACATATGTCCTTTATTTTTGGTCTTTCTGAGACAGGGTCTCCCTGTAGCCCCAGCTGGCCTGGAACCCACTATGTAGATCAGGCTGGCCTTGAACCCACAGGGATCCATCTGCCTCCGCCTCCTGAGTACTGAGACTAAAGGCGTGGGCTACCACGCCCGGCCAAGAGTTTTGCTTTTTACCTTAATAGGGAAAGCATTTGGTGAACGGGTTATCCATGACAGGGATAGGGTGGGGTTTGGACAGGGTGGGGTTCCAGTGTCCCTTTCCTTCATCGCCTGTTCTCCCACAGTGCCTGATATCCAGCCCAGGGTCTTGCACATGTCAGGCCAGTGCTGAGACTGCTGAGCTCACCCTCCAGACCAAATTTTCCTCCTTCATATGGTCTCCTTAGTAACCAGGTGGGAAGAAGAGGTGGGATAGAGGAGGGGATGGTAGTGAGATCATGAGTACCTGCCCCACTCCTCATACTGCCACAAACCCTACACCCCTCAACTTCCACATCTCCTTGATTTTTGCAGTGCCAGCAACAGTGAATACTTTTCCTGCTTGAGAGTGACGTGCTTGTATTTTTTTCCTTCATTTCTCTCAAGCTTTCTGTTGTTTGTGATGTTACAGTCCTTTATCACTTTGGAGGCTTTGACTCTGCTGATGTAACTTTGACCTCTTAAGTCTTCGTATAGTAGTGCCAAGAAGGTGGTGATGGAAGATTCCAGATTGAACATAGCATGCATGGGAAGCTGTTCACAGAGTGGTTGGCAGCTGGGGACTGTCCTCTCAGAACATGATTCCAGCCAGTGTGCTTTTGCAGTTAGCTCACATTCCCAAGCTTCTCCAGAGTTCCCTGCTAGACAGAAGTGTGTTTGTTTGACACGGCCCCTCCATGGTGTCTTCCCGTTTGTTTAGTTTATCTCTTCTATGTTTTGCCATCTGTGAAGCATCATGCACAAATCTATCCTGAGGTGAACGATAAATAATCACAATTTATTCAGGTACTTGCTGTTCTGCCAAATGGAGTGATCTGCATGTGGGTCTGAAAACCCTTGGTGAGAGGCAGTGTTATACCACATTGTAAAATCCCAGAAAGTCCTGTGTTCCATCCGTCCGTCCATCCATCTGTGCCCCCCCCCTCCACCAAGAGGGATCTGAGTTGTTAAATCCTGGTTTTAGAACTCTCAGTCTTCTTTGTGTCTTTAGATTGGTTTCCTCTGGAACAGCATTGGAGAATATTTGAAACGAATATAAAGCCTCAGGAATTCTTTTGGTTATCCCTAGTTTTTCAGTGTTTTTGAGTCTGGGTCTCCCTGGAGTCCCACCTGGCCTAGAACTCACTATTAGACCATGTTGTTGAGATCTATCTTCTTCTACCTCCTGAGTGCTGGGATTAAAGGCATGCACTAGCATACCCGGCCAAAAAGTTTTCTTAAGAGACTGCTGATGGCATCCAGCCTTGACCAGTGTAGCTGGCATTGATAGCAGGAAGTGGACTCAGTTTATTGAGCTTCTCTCTTTTCTTTCCAGCGAGTTAGAACGTCTGAGCAACTTGGTAGGCAAGCCATCTGAGAATCACCCTCTTCACAACAGTGGGCTGTTAAGTCTGGATCCTGTGCAAGACAAAACTCCTCTCTACAGCCAACTCCTGCAAGCATACAAATGGTCCAACAAGGTAAGGGAGGTGCTGCACGTGGAGTTAATAGAGCAAAGCCCAGATTTTCTCCTCTAAATGCAGAGTAGGGGTAAGTTTTTATCTCTCAATCTGCATGCGGTGATAAGAGTTGGGAGTTTTAGAGTATTCTTGTAAGGGATTTTCGTAGCTCTTTGAAGTCTGAGGATTAATAATGATGCTCAGGTAATTACATTTGAAAAGGAAGTCAAAGTCAAGCTTACCTAACCTGGAGGTTGGGTGTGGGGAGTCAGCTCATGGAGCCCCTGTATATTATATGCTGTGTGTTTTGGTATTAGCCTTTTGTCTGGGGGAAGTCCAAGCCTCCTTCCACTTCTCAGGAGCTGCTAACTTCTAGAATTTAAAACTGGTATAAAGGTTTTAGTCATTGACCTTGTTTATGTTCTTTATCTCTGTCACTGATGGAAGGATGTCTCAAAAGTGCTATTGGTTAGGTCGCTCACTACTCTGTTTGGAGCATATCTGAGATGCTCTTATGCTCCACAGAGTGTGACGATTGTGGTGTCTTTCAGCAGGCAAACCCGTGCTGTAGACCTTAGGATAGTTGGAAAAGGAAAACTAAGCGATAGTCTGAAAATAGGGAACCATTAGGCTCAGGAGCCTTGAAGCAGTTTGTTTCCTGATGAGTTCCTTCGTTTGCCTGCTGTGTTGTGTGTGTTGCTGTGGGGAGGACTTCACTAGCTCCTTCTGGCCTTGATTGTGAACTGCTGTGCTCCTCCAGGTCCATCCGTCATCCTCGTCTTCTGTTCTTTCCCCCTTAGGTCTTGGTGATCGATGAGCCTCGATTGTTTTTCCTTAAGTTTCTTTCTCTGTTGGGCATATTTTAGTATTCTCTGGTTTGATGTGGAGCCCTAGAAGCTAGAGTTAGAGATTCAGGAAGGAGATGACTTGTCATTGGGCCCCAAAGGAAGAACTTGAATTTTGAATACATTGATTTGGTCTTTAAGGCCTTTTCCCCAAAACTCTTACAGAAACCCAGTTTGGTCTAGATTTAGCCAATCCTCCCTTCTGTCCCTTTTGCTCCCCTCTCCCCAGCAGCCTTGAGTTGGAGGAAATGTCACTGGAGCAAGGGAGTTTCTGTATGGAGCCACACTCATGAGGATCAGGGTGTGTGGCGTCAACTCTGCTGTTCCGATACTCTGGGTGGGAGAAGAGCTGGCCTGATGGTGTCGGGTTTTGCATCTTTATACTCAGAGAGCTCCCATTGCTTTCACGGGTGGGAATCTCAGCTTGGATCACTGGAAGTGACTCTCCTTGGTATTGGAGAGGGGCATTTCCTCAGGGGAGAGTGCATTAGTCTGTTTTTGTTACTATAATGAAATATCTAAGGTAGATGAGGTGACTTTATAAAGAAGAGAGGTTTATTTGGACCTCAGTTTTGGAGATGCCAGGGCAAGATGCTACATGGCTTGATTCTGGTGAGGATCTTGTGACAGATGGCATCACAGCAGTGGGAGAGCGTGCCAGAGAGACAGAGCACATCATCAGACAGGAGATGAGACAAGCTAGTGTCCCCCAGTCTACCTAAGGACCTCTGATTAGTCATCACCTCTTAAGGGTTCCACAGGGCCATCACCACACCAAGGACAAAAATTCTAACCTATGAAGCTTTGTGGGTGACACTTGAACACCCAGGCCAGAGCAGAGACTGTAGGGCAGGCAGAAAATGACAGGTGCTTGTTGGGGTTGCTGAGGCCAGGTATGGACTGGCCCAGTCCAGCCTGGACACCACTGCCTGCTAGACTGACCTGCAGAAGCTTCCTAGTTTTCCTGGGGGTATGCCTGAGATCTGAACATGTTACCTGGAGAGTGGGTGGAATCTGGTCAGCAGGGAGAATGGTAAGACTGTCTCTGGTTAGACTCCTAGAAAATCTTGGATTCTTGTGTTTGGGTTTTTTGATGTTTTTGAGACAGATCTTCCTGGAGCCACACCAGTGAGTCTGGAACTCACTATGTAGACCAGGCTGGCCTCACTCTCACAGAGATCCTCCTGCCTCTGCTGGGAAAAAGCTTGTGCCACTATGCCTGACTGGATACTTGTGTTTGGATGAGGAAGACAAGTTGCCATGTCACATGGGTGGATTAACTAGAGTGATAAGGGCTTTTCAGTTGTGGGAAGATTTAGGCTGTTCTGAAAACCCTGGGTGACAGATTCTTAAGGGATGTGACTAGTTGTATATCAAAATGTTGACAGCTTACATTTGACCAAAGCTAGTTTAATTATTAGAAGAATTTGATTGTTTAACTACTAAAATAGAAGTCCAGGTCCTTACCTTTGCCCCAAAGTGGGAATGAAGTCACATTAAGGAGAATAAATATTATGTATATGCAGTTCTTGTCTTAGAGGTGTTATATGTTAAGAATATGTGTGGAAATGTACACAGTGTATAACCCTGTAAGCAGAGTGAGGAGCTTTGGAGGTTTCAGATGTGCCCTGCCTGCTGTGGTGATGCTCCTGTAAAACCCCTGTGTCCTCTCACCATCTCCCTATGACACCAGCAGAAGAGGCTCAGCCTTGTATTAGAGCTGGGCAGTCTGAGGTCCAGTGAACTGACCTTGTCATAGCTCCCTAGCTGGACCACAGTTTGAGTCTTTTTCCTCTTAAACTTGATGCCTAGTTTAGTTTTTCAACTATAGGGGCTGGAGAGATGGCTCAGCAGTTAAGAGGTTGTACTGTTCTTTCAGAGGATCAGAGCTTGGTTCTCATCACCAACTTAAGGAGGTGCACAACTGCCTGGAACTCCAGAGGATATGATGCCCTCTCCTGGACTCTGTGGGTACCTGCACTCAACATGCACAGCCCATACACAGACACACACATATATATATAGTTAAAAATAAAAATAAATCTTTGTTTTAGGAAAGAAAGTGTTTCAACTGTAGAAAACATTTTCTTCCCTTTGGTTACATCTTAGGAAATTGTGTGACATTTTCTTCATACCTTTTCAGGTTTATTTTTGGTCTTTTGAGAGAGGGTTTCTCTGTAACCCCAGCTAGCCTAGAACTGTCTGTGTAGACCAGGCTTCAATCTCACAGAGATCTGCATGCCTCTGTCTCTTGAGTGCTGGGCATGAAGGCGTGTGCTACCACATGTGGCTCCATATCTTTTTAAAAACCCATTTGGTTTGCATGCGTTTTCATGGTTTGTTAAAGGATGGAGAAGATGGGCTGGAGAGATGTTCGGCAGTTAAGAGCACTGGCTACTCTTGCAGAGGATCCAGGTTTGGTTAGCACCCATATGGCAGCTAACAGCTGTCCATAACTCCAGTTCCAGGGGATTCAATACCCTCTTCTGGCCTCCACAGACTTTGCACAACATGGGTGAGCTTCCATATTTGCAGACAAAATACTTATACACATAAAATAAAAATAAAGAAAAAATTTTTTAAAAAGGATGGAGAGGACAAATGTATGGTAGGTGGGTCCTCAAACTATTGCTCTTTCCAGGACAGGCATCACTAATCAACTGTTGTGTTCTTTTCTATGACTCTGTTTATATTGGCCCTGAAGCCATGCACGTGGTCTAGGGCTAGGCAGCCACTATCAGTTACTTCAAAGGAGGGTTGCAGGTGAGACAGTCTTTTTATTTCTATAGTACACATGATGTTCTATGTAGCTAGTACATATTTCTACCATACTTTACTCTGGGAAAGACCTAAGGTAGAGTATAAGAATCCATAAACCTAGAAAAGAGAAGGCAGCTAGACTAAGGATGCCTTGTTCGTATTTCTGTAATAAACCTCAGAAGTAGCCTCAAGAGACAAGCCAGTATTCTAATTTCCAGCTGGGGGTGTGCAAGAAGCAAACAGTTAATTACGTGTTTGTCTTGGGTCTATAACTGAAGAGTTTTTTAATTGCTACAACATTGACCATTATTTTATTCAAAGAGCTTAAAGCGGTGCAGGCATTAATATGTGACGTGAGGTGGGGCGACCCTGCCAGTGTCAGCTTCCACGCTGTTGGCTACAATGGAAGGGAGTGCGGGCACAAGACACTGATGCCACCATTATGTGGTGAACTTTCTGTTTTGTGTGCTGTTGGTCACAGAGGAGCCTTGTGCATACCAAATGACTAGTATTTTCTTTGGGGGATTTTTCATAATTTTTGTAAAGTCAGTTGGAATATTAATTACATGGCAGTTGGCGTAATTGTTAGACTAACACATTTTAAGATGAACCTCATTTAAGGAAATGGTGTCAAATCGCTGTGAGCAGCACTTTTCCCGTGCTGATCTGGGGAAAGCACTGAGCTTTCAGCGCTCACGCACCTATCATTATTGTTCTGCGGGAGCATGACAAGCTCTTGACTAGGGCAGAAAATAATTGGCATCAATGCTGGGCTGCCGTAGGACAGCGAGTGCAGACTTTGTGTCACCTGCTCTCTATCTCAGACTCATGGAGAGGCTGTGCTTCTCCCGAAGGTCCCTTTCCAAGGTTCCCAGTGTCCCTTTCATTTCAGGTTTTGTCGGTTTTCACATGTGGCAGAAGGTAACTTTGTGTACGGTCTTCCCCTGGTGCCAGTCGGGGATTGGTTCCAGGAGCTCTGTCTGCAGATGCTCAGCTCCATGAGGCTCAAGTCCCCTGTAAATGGTGCAGATTAGCAGACAGCCTACTACCTTGCTGTGTACTTTTCCTTCTCCTTTTTTCCCCTTTTTGAGATGGGTTCTAGCTATGTTGCCTCGGCTGGCCTTAAACTCCTGAGATGAAGTGAGCCTTCTCCTTCAGCCTCCTGAGTAGCTGGGACTGCAGGCACATCCCACCATTTCATATCTCTAGGTGACGTAATAGCTGATGCAGTGCGTTTGCTCTGTGGGTAGCTGCTGTGCTGCACTGCTCAAGGGGTAATGACAAGGAAAATCTGTACATATTCAGTACGAGAGCAGTGTTTCATCAGCGGTCGGTGAATCTGTAGATACGCCAACAGGAGCTGAGGAGGGCTGCTGGCCTTTGCCTTTCCTTGTTGGTAGCTGAAGCAACAAAGAC